CTACAAGAAAACACCCAGCAATTAAAAAAGTGAGTGAAGAAGTTTCAAAAGAAAGACAAATGCAAAGAGGGTGGAGGAACTGACAGTGAGACAGCAAAGCTCCATAGAGAGGGGGGGGACTCTCGGGAGGAAGAACCCTACCTTACAGCATAAAAAGCAGCGAAATGGGAAGCAAGCCAATACTAAGCTGTTAGAAACCCACCCAGCCCAAGCAGATCGCAGCAGGACCTGATATTCATTGCAGAGAAAAACCTTAGAACTTTAAAAAACTTTTACCTTAATGTAAATAATGACGCAGCGAGGGGGGGAAATGGCGCCCAGTGGCAAAGGCACCACAGGAAATGCCAGCACAGCATCACTGGTCACAAGACCAGAAACTACCATCGATTTAGCTGGTACAATTTCTGAAGCCTTGCGCCCCCTGCTGGATCAGCGGACAAATCTCAATAAGAAATTTGATGATTTGCAGAAGGAGCTGAAGGAGACCAAAGTTAAATCAGAGAAGATGACCCAAAAGCTAAAAAAAGGTTGAAACTAAAACCAAAGAAATGGATCAATGAATGGACATTGCGGATAAAGAAAGAGCTTCTGAAAAACAACAGTTACTACAACTACAAGGGGAAAGATCCCTATATGTTTTAAGAATCCAAGAGGTACCGGGGGGGGAATGAAAATCTAAGAGGAATCTTAAGTGAAGCATTGGCCCCCTTGATCAACAGCAAACCTGAAATATTGCAAGCGGATATAGACATGATCTATAGAACCTACTCAGAGTTTATGGAAAAAAATAATCTTCCAGGGGAAATATTTGTTAAATTCGCAAAAAAGATCAACAAGAGACTTGATACTTAAAATGTCTACTGCCACAACATTAAAAATTCAAGAGGAAGAGATAAAAATACTGAAAGATGTTCCATTTGAAATACGCAAGAAGAGGAAGCAATACAGAAGCATCACAACATTTCTTCAAAAGAACAATGTCCAATACCGATGGATTTTACCAAAATGTCTTATATTCAACTATAAAGAGAAGAAGGAAAAGATTGACTCTCTCTCTAAAGCAGGATTATTCCTGAAGCAGCATCAAACTCCAACAAAACAAAGAAAGGAAGCAGAGGAAGAGAAGGCGACAGAAAATAACAGCGAACCTCAGGTGTCAGCCACTGACAGCTCCTCTTCTACTTTGGTGTCCCTGGGTGAAATCTGTGGTTCTGACCTGGGAGCTGCGGCCCCCAGATCTTATAAGGTTAAAATCCCCTGGCAAAAGAAGAAAAAGCACAAAGACAAGAAGACATCCAAATAACGATCTAAGATTTTTCTATGTTAAAATTTAAATAATTTATATTATTGTCCCTATGCGATACAATAACCAAGAAATTTTTGTACTTTCTATTTGAATACTTATTACTTAAAAATTAAATGATATGTTGTAAACATAAATTTGCAGGGAAGCATCCAAAGTGCAAGATAGGTTATCAATGTACCTTGCTACTCTGAATTTGTAGTTTGTTTAGTTTGTAGTTTATAGTGAAAGCAATAAAAAATTCTTTTAAAAAAAGAGAGAAATGACGGCTGAGGGGGTGACATGATTGAAGTTTATAAGATTATGCATGGGATGCAGGTTGAGAAAGAAGTGCTTTTCTCCCTTTCTCACAATACAAGAACTCATGGGCACTCAATGAAATTGCTGAGTAGTCGGGTGAGAACAGATGAAGTACTTCTTCACCCAAAGAGTGATTAACACATGGAATTCACTGCCACAGGAGGTGGCGGCAGCTACAAGCATGGACAGCTTCAAGAGGGAATTAGATAAGCATATGGAGCAGAAGTCCATCAGTGGCTATTAGCCACAAGGTATAGATAGAAACTCTTGGTCTGGGGCAATTGATGCACTGTATTCTTGGTGCTTGGGAGGGGCAACAGTTGGAGGGCTTCTAGTGTCCCGGCCCCATGGCTGCACCTGCTGATGGCACCT